TTTTATTTTTCTGCATTTTGCATGCATTTTTCTCACTTTTTCTCCTGACGTATTTTTCTACAGTTTCTATTCTTATTATTTTCCATTTAATTTTTATTGTGAAATTAAGAGGCTTGCTTGTTAATTTTTTATTTAATTTTTGTTGTGTAATTCTTTGTTTTTTTCTTTGGTGATTGTCTTTGTAAAATATCATTAAAATTTGATATTTAATTTATAAAAATATATATTTATAACAATAAATCCAAAATATTACATTAAAAATTTTGACATTTGATATGTATCATTTTAATAGTAAAACTAATATATATCGATATGAAATTGCTACTATTGATCAAACTCCAACCCTCAAAATAAGAGATACTCCTTATAAATTGAGTTATAATTGTTGGACCACAAGGTTCGGTCGCTGTCATTGGTTTCTGATCTTAAATGACATTAAATTTAAATAACCTTTTTGTCAGCTACCTTAGATTTAAATTGTTAAATAAACCTACGATTGACAATTATTTGCAATAGCATATTAGTTACATAAATAAATATTGAGAGAAGAATATAAAAGAAAGTATCAAATACTTTTTAATTTACATTAATTATTTTGACATGACTATAGTTCAAATCTTGTACGAGTATGAATGGCACATTCTATCTAATGACATTAAACTTGAAATTAGAGTCGATCAATTTTTGTGAGTTGTGTATTTAAATTTCATAAAATTTTTTTTCTCGTTTTCTTAATTAATATGTAAGTAGTTATAATATGTTTTAAAAAAAAAATCTTGTACTAGTATATGTATGTAAATTTTGATGCCCAGTTAGTCTCCAACAAGGAAAGCAACCCTTAACTCTCTTCTCCTTCTTAGTATTGCTACGTTCCGAGCCCTTGACTCGGTGTTTTTTTTTTCTTCTTCTTCAGCCCTTAACTTGATTGATGCTGTTTTTTTTTAATGATTGGAATGGCAATACCACTGCATTGAACTTTTTTTTTTTTTTTTTGAAAAATTGGCAATTGCACTGTCTTGAACATTAAAAAAAAAAAGAAGCACATCCGCGAATTCGGCGATAAAGATTGAGGCCCCCAGCTGAATTTAAGGCTGATACAGACGTGACAGCTTTTTGTTTTGTTTTTTTGTCTTTTTTTTCTGCTGGTCAATTTTTTATAGTATTTTTTTAAATTATATTAAATTATAGAATAAAAATAATTAAATAAGGGAAGAATTCATTATATTATAAAGTTTATTTTATTTTATTATTATTTTTTGAATAAGATATTATGGAAGTTTGATCCCAACCCTAATGAGAGGAGAGAACTACAATTTAATAAAATGAAAATAATCACTCGATTCAATGAGTTAAATATATTTTATTTAATAATTTGTATAATATAATTTAATATAATTTAAATTATATATTTTAAAAAAAAA